ATTATATTAAAGTCACCCGCTGCATGTAGGAGCTATTAAGGAGTTGTGCTGGACACTGCAAGGCCGTTGAGTGTTACTAGGGAGCAGATCAGTGTTTATAAAGTTGTAGATAAACCGGTGACTGCTGACTAAGCCTTAGCGAGCACATGCAGAGCACAGCTAAGCCTGGACACTTCATTATGGAGGACCATTATCAATTCTCACAAATCGAAAACCAGCATGACGGTACTACAGAAAGCACCGGGGAACCTTTGGCTGAGTCAGGTAGGAAATTCCTGGTCGGCATCTTCTTTGATGGTTCAATCACTGCATGAGCCAAGGCCAGTCGATACCTTTACCTTTCTGCAACATTTAATCAAATTGACTTTAGTAAGCTAAATAATCTGAAATTACAGTATACACTCAACATTATGGTTGGCTTTCTGTGAAGGAAGCAGGAAGGCATTACTTTTTTCTTCCACTTCTCTGACTGTCTCCCCAGGTTCCCTCAGAGGAGTGAGGTCTCTGCTGCTCTGCAGAGCTAGATAAATGAGCTGTGCTGTAGGTTCACCATGGCTTCAGCACTTTACAGCTAGATTAATGATGCTTTGCAAACCTTGAGTCTTTGCTTTTAGCATTTTCGAAGTGCCTTCATAAAATGAACCACGGGTATATCTTGTTCATAAACGTATCTGTTGTGGCATATTTCTTGTGGGAATGATTCTATGAAATCAATCAACTGGACTCCTTTACCCAGTATTTCTGAAAATGGTAAACACTGAAGAAGAATTGTGACAGATAACCTTTATGGGCAGATAATAAAGATTGTCCAACTTTTCCTTTTCAATTATAGCCAGGGTTGTAACTCACCAGAGTTGTACTGATTTACTTATGCTACAAGCAGAAATATTAATAAAACGTGAGCACAAAGCAGCTTGGATTGCAACTAAGATTTGCTGAAGAGTGATGATGTTGCACTTAGAATAACAAGCTTTTGTTTCAGTGCATAACACACTGCTCTGTCAATGTAGTAATAGGAAGTCCGTAGCGCCAACTTGTGTTCTTCAAGTAGGGACATATAGTGCTTTATCTACTAACTGAGAGAAAGTCAAGAATGCTGCATGGGAGAAGTAGCTTGAACACCTAAAAGACCGGCACCCTACCAAATAATTTAAAAACTGTGCTGAAGACTGACCCTTTGTGCAAAAAAATAAAATAAATAAAATAAACTGCTTCAAAACACTCAAATTCTTTCAGCATTCAAGCATAAATTGTAATTTTTTGTCCGGTTTTGAACTGCAGTGTTACTCTAAGGCGCACCAATATGCAACTGCACTCCCATTTATCACCAAACAACTGGGTCACCAAAACATCCTACCTTAAATTAACAAGCCATGCATTGATTTTACAGTCCACCTACAGTTAAAACAATAACCTTGCATTTGCAAACACACTCCCTCACTTGATTCAGACAAAGACGTACTGACATGGGACACAAAATTAGTAAAACAGTTATGAAAGAAATCAGCATTTAGTTTTCCTTTGGGAATCAGCACATGGATGGGTGAACGTAGTGTCAATCATTTTGGCGTCCTTTGGAAGGATGCAAGTACAGGCCATTTATCAATAATAAAATATTTTTGAGTGCTTTCTATATGCACACTTCCATGCTTTGTTAAACAAGACATACTAAATCATCATTCAAATATGCACATCTAGGTTTGAGGGTGTGCATCTAGTCTATTTTTATTTATTTTTTTTATGTTTTACTATTACTTATATACAGTCAAACAATTGAAACACTGAAAGTAACTTACTTATGTTTTACACTTTCAAAATTTGAAATATTTCTCGGCCATAAATATGATGATAATTGGCCTTTAAGTAGCTGCATTGTTTTTTGTTGTTTTTATCAAAATTGATGGTACATCAGAATGATCATGAGAATATCTATAGTTGTTTATTTTCTTTGAAAAACAATCTAAAATGTTTTTGTGTGTGTCTCAACCCAACCTACCTGTCAGTTTTCATTACGGTGGCTAAATTGCATGGTAAGCCTCACACATGGACCACGTTGAATTGTCACGGGTAAAAAAGAATCCAGGCATTGGAGGACGCCATGAATTGGTAATGTTATTGGATTTCAACCAGGTCATGGCCACATAAAATGTTGACCTACACAGTTTTCCAGGTTGATAAAGGGGCTAGTAACATGAATTTATTATGTTTGTTCAGAGACACGCATCTACAACACACGGATTCAATTTAACTTAGATTAAATATAACAAGTCTTCCCAAGTTTTTAACTGGGAACATAACATTATTTAAGGGTCTATCATCAGGAAAAAAAGTTTCCATGTTTTGTCAATAAAGGCATAGAAAAAAAACTGACTTCACCTTTGCTCCTCTCTTTTAGGTTGAAGAAAATGTTCATTTAGGTGCTCCTAATTACAGCACCTCATTATTGAGACCATCTCCATAAAAGAAAAAGTCTTAGAAGTTTGTTGATCCAGATAGTGAAGGTGTTGACAATGCTAGTAAGAAAATACATCAAAAAGAACCTTATAAAATTCAGTGTTACTAGCATTCAATCTGGGAAGGCGATTTTCCAAAAAATTGAAGGCCACAGTTTTACAATGAGAAACAAATCTCACCAAAGAAAAACAACATAATAAAAAGGCAGTCAAGAAAAGACAGAAACGTTGCAAAAAGAAAATAATGCATGAAGCTCCATCTAAAACAGTCGTAACCATGTTAAATGGCAAAGTTCAAGAATGGACAATTAGAGAGAGACGGAACAAAAGTCTTTGGAAAGGTTACTGGGAGAACATTACTTCACTTGAATAAGAATATAGCAGCCTGACTTTTGCAATAATGCATTAAAATGCGAAACGGGACATGTAGAACAATCATGTCACCATGTCTGATGAAATCCGAACATGATATATCAGCACAAACATTTCGTACCAACTGTCAAGCATTGGTTTGTGAGTTAGATAATGATCCCCAAACACAGCGGCCAGTGTACAACATGATGGCTGGAAAAGAAAGGAGGGAAAAAAACTCCGGTTGTTGTAACGGTCCAAAGTATGGCTGTCAACCTGGTTATAAAATGTGATGGCAGTGCATTGAAACTGCTGTGGATAAATAAATTCCACCACAATCAAATTAATGACTGATTATAAAAAAAAAAAAATGCTCCAAGTGACATTATCTTTGTTTAGTTTTCCAAATGCATTTATTTTTATTTGCTTCTTTCATTTTTTTTATGTCTTGATACTCTTAATATGTTTATATTTTCATCCTATTTACTGTACTGCTTTTTTNTTTCNTGCATTATTTTTTTCTTATAAAAGAGAAATATCCATGTTTTAGATTTATAGCTATAAAGTGGAGTATTAGGCCTCTTTCTGACCTGTAGGAGGGAATTAAAACATAAGTATAAACAGCTCCTCTTAGTCCTTTGGGGAGTTATCCTATATATAACACACCCACATCACACTGTTTCCTCTTCTACACCTCTACAATAAATCTGAAGGATGGAGTTTAAGGTCTGTGAGAGGGAGAATGAGAGTGGTAAGGTGGGACAACTAGGGAGGCAGTATTGATTCCTTGATTCCCGTACCTCTGCCAGAGAGTGCAGTGTGTCGAGATCTCCTGCCAGGAAAAACAAATCACGAGGCAGAAGTGATGGATGTGGCACTCCGGGATCCGGTGGTTTCGCCATCTGGATGGCCGATGCTGTATATCAGCCTCATGCACAGCAAATTAAATTTACATTTGGACGGCTTCCCCAGGCCTCACGCTTTGCAGATGCAACTGAAACAGCCCTCCGCCGCAGCACCCTTAATGGGCTTGATCTATCATTTCCAGGACTATTATGTAAAGATGATGTTGGCCCGTGTTCAGAAAGTCAGAATGATGTTACCGTCACAGCAAAATCAGATTAAGAGTAGCCAAATGGATGTTCGGCAAAATGACATCACCTTTCATTATCTTAAGATGAGTCAATGCTAATCCAACTAGCAGATGTTTTGATGCACATTTAAACATTAGTGACATAACGGCACAAATGCAATAAAAGCCAGCGTCCATCTTTATTTCGGGGCCTGATGCCCTCTTTACCAGTTTCTTTTTTCTTTTTTTTTCTTTTTATTCACCACAAAATTACAAACAATGGGCACAGCTTTATTGCTGCAGCTCATTCTACTTAGCAGCACTTCATATCCAAAAATCTAACCTGGCCTTGAGGAGGCTGCCATGCTTAAATGAAATGACCTTTAACGCAGAGCTGATCAAATGGCCTGAGGCAAGACTATAAAAAACATTGCAGTATAATGTTTTACAGTGTGCTTTTTTCTGGTCCGTTGTTTGCCCTTTCCCATTCTCTAAGACGGCACATTCTATCATCTTTGGTCTGAAATGGATTTAATAAAAGAGCATGTGCATTAGGAGAACATAGATTTCTCTTTTTTGTATGCTTATTTTGTAAAAGATAGAAGGTAATATTGATTTAAATTTCTATTTCTCTGTCTTTTGTTTTCTGTCTTTTTAGGGATTTTTTTATTATTTTTACATTCAATGCCCAATAGTCCTCTAAATGCCAAAGGCACATTTGACGGCTCCTTCCAATCCCTCGACATTGTAAATATCTGCAAAGCCACACAGGCCACTGAAACACAAATTGAGCATGTGGGTTGACTATTATGTTGTGAACCTGAGCCTTCACTGTTCCTCAATAATCTGATCCCATTTCTGCAAAGAAGCTGTAGCCTGGAAAACGGCGCAGCAGCTGCTACTGTGCCAAGGCAGCGTGTGGTCGTGTTGACAGATAAATCCAGCAGCCAAATAGTGTAGCTGTCTGGATTCACATGCCATCTGCCCGCACTCTCCTTAACCTAAGCCTCTAGAAATGCCACTTTTGGTCTTTTCGAGTGGGAATCATCTCACCTTGTTCATACGACTAAAGAAATCCATGCCCTCACCTCTGTGCCTATGTACCTCTCTCTCTCTCTTTTCAGACAACTGATGACTTGATGGTGGCTTCAGCGGAGTGTCCAAGTGATGATGAAGACATTGATCCGTGTGAGCCGAGCTCAGGTGGGTTAGGTTAGTCATCTCTTTTTTATTCTACTTCTCTTTGGGTGTGTCGGTGTGTCTTTGTGTGTCATACATCACCAGAGGTACAGGTCATTAGACACCAACAGATACAGTCAAGCTGTGCAGATTGGAGTTGTGAGTAAGATTTCAGGTTTGTGAGAGGGACCTACAGTTATCTTTTTTTCTGTTCACTGCTGACTTTTCTGTTCCTATTTTAACTGGATCTCAAACAACAAAGTACAGAAATGTGACTTAGGAATCACTTATTTTATTTTTTCTATAGTATTTATGGTGTTTTTAAACTAAATAAGCTTGACTTGAAAGAAATCTCGAAATGTCAGCTACAGCAACTATATTTGGCATTGTCTCAATTGACTGAACTTTCCTTTATGAGCAAACCTCTTTTTGAGTTTAATGAAAACCTAGATAAGAAAACAGAAAGGTAAACGGATAGACTGCAAACTAGAGTTAAATAGTAATCTAAGTAGCTAAATTGCTCAATATTTAAACATTTCTGAAGCAAGTTGACCTGACAACTTTAGCTTCCCCCAGTGGACACAACTTCAAAGGATGCTCATCATAACCCTTGTGTTACTTTGGAGGTTTACATCACTTCACGTTCATATCACTACGTCACTGGACTAGAAACTCAGATTATCTCGAAGACCAGCTAATCTGAATTCATGCTAAACAAAGATGGTGAGATATTTATTTACTGAAGGTCAGTCAATAAATACTCCAACATTTTTGTTAATCTAAATCCGTTTCAAAGAATTGACTCTTTTCATTCATTTTTCATTAAAAAATCATCTCATTTCACCACTCTGAATATTTTACACTTTGAGACAAGCAAATGCAGTTCAGATTCCAGACAAATAGAACCTTTATGATTCGTGCAGAAAATGTTTTTTTTTTTCAGCATCCATAGTCAGTGGTTTAATTTTGGCCATTATAAATCATTCATATCTTGTGCGCCTCTTCGACACCGTTTCCGTTTCCCAGGTGGCTTTCAAATCGCCGTCACAGAAACAATTCAAAAGTGATGGGAATCTCTTTATTGTGTTTGTAATGTGGTGTTGTCTAGCCGCCCGGCGAAAATTATTCATCATTCGACTCTGTCAACATAATGTGGCAGCGCAAAAACTTCTCAAATAAAGATACAGAGTGTTAAGTTTGAACAACACGCTGTCAGAGATCCACTGTTTGTCAAGACTGAGAAGTATTGTGGTGTTTTTAATCTGGACCTTGTGTCGCAATATCTTGTCAAATCCATAGTGTTCATGTAATACTGCAAACAAAGGCTTCCTTTATGGCAAGATATTGAAGGGCTGCTTGTCGTTTGCCTTGTGTTCAGAAATGTATTAATTTAAACATAAGGACTGGGGCTATCTTTTATGTTCGTCAGCTTTCATGTTTGTCAGTCTTCAGTTCACCCAGCGGCATTGCTAAACAAAAGTGTTGCATGAGCAACAAAAACTACACAATCTTCTGTCTGGTTGCTGTCCCTACAAGCAGATGTTGTTACTGTGTTTTAATTGTTCACCTACAGTATTTGTTTACAGCAGCTCAGGGCATTTGCTAATATGCATAGAGGGGAGTTCTCATGGAGACGGGGGGAAAAACAATTGTAATTATGAAACCTATGTGACTTCAAAATATTACATAGAAAATGGATAAGCCCAGAGAGGACTGTATGATTTTTACAGATGTGCACAGTGTCCCCACTGTTGTTAATTAAATTCTACAGCGGGCAGTGCAGGTTTATCCTGTTGTTTCTCATATGCTGTTGTTCACTGCGGCTGCACGCAACTCCCCTCGGATATGATGATTGAGGTGCATGTCAGTTTTGTTCTTATAACACGAACACACTTAGTCGGTCTAAAGATTTGTGTTTAAAGAGCCCAGCTGAATTCAAAATATAAAAAAGGCACTTATTGCTTCCCCAAAGGGTTTCAAAAATACAGCCTCACTCTGACAATTTGTGATTGTAAATCTGTTCCCCGCATTGCTTGCAAAACTTTTAATCTCTTTCTCTTGCCACACATGGAGGGCAATTAGGTCTAACCCTAGCATCTGTCTATGAAAACAGGGATTTTCAAATGCATTCAGAAGTGATGAGAAGCACTGAGAACAATTAAGTCCAAACTCAAGGCTCCCTGCTCCATTTAAATGTGTTATTGATCAGTATGTGGTTGTAAAACCTCCACTAAATTAATGCCTGCCCCACAGCAAATGATATCTCCTTTCTAGTCTGAATGTCTTCCTATTCTTCTGGCTTTCCATTTGCAATATTAACTGTACTCTTTTTTTTCCCCTCTATTTCTGATTTTTCATTTTTGATTTATTTAGAGAGCATGACAATAAGTATTCCAACGTGCATTTGTTACCTTAGGCAAATATTATACCTGGAAGAGTACAAGTTCACACAAGCAGCATGCATTATCATTTTTTTTATTTTTATATATTTTTTTTTTTTTTTTTTTTTTTGACAAGGGCATCTGCCAAAACATCCGTTGCAAACAATGTGACGCTTTGGGACGCATCCTCCCCATGCTGTGCATTCTTCTCCTTTTGAGCTCGCTGAGGGGGATTTGACACCAGAGCTGTGGGCTCCCAGGGTGGCAGCTGTCTAACACTGTATCCTGATTAATATCTACATTCAGAGAGGTTCACATGCTCTGCCAAGCACTCACCTCGTCTCAGTCAGGCTTGCTGCTTACAAAATCTAAAGATATTGTTGCTGATAAAAGTACAACTTGCTCATATTACTGTTTTAAGCCGCTTACTTTAATAATACCAAGGATGTAAGGTTTTTTCATGCTATATAACCTGAGAGCTTTTTTCTGGCTGCAAACTCTAAGCAGCAGCCAGAACCGAAGACACTTTGTGCCCGTGCCAACCTCTGCACTCATGTATGGCTACAGTATGATAATGTTTATGCATAAGTGAACCCAGGAGGTGAGCTCTGAAACAGACTATTATGTGAGCCGTACATGGCAAGGTCAGCTGTAGATTACTCTGTATCTCAGAGGATTCTTGTCCCCCAGCGGTCCCTTCCAGCCACTCAAAGGCATGAATTGGGTAAGCTTGCTTATTGCCATGCTTTATTACCCTTACTTCCGGAAACCATGGAGGAGCACAGCTTATCACTTGGCAGGACTCAGATTAGATCACGCTGCACCAAATTGAATCCTCCCCCCTGGTTTCGGAACCCACAGAGGAATACAGAGGGCCATGATGCAGCAACACATCTGATTTGTAAGAGGAGGAGGATTCAGGAGTACTCAGATTCTCGGCAGCCCGTCTCTGACAGCTGAATATCACCGCAACCGTGATTACAATACCATGTTATACTGCTATCTTTGTGATGCTTGTCGGGGGAGGGAGGGGGATGGCAAACCACATTGCTGAAGGTTTTTGCTTCAATAAGATTTCCCCTCAAATTCTTCGAAAAAATAACCAAAATATATGTAGACAATTTGCATAATGACCTCACCTCCAAGGTGTTCTTATATGAATGCCGAATAAATCTTGGCATTTAGCTTAAACAACTTCTGCAGTTTTCTCTGAGTACGAACAGCTCATTTGAAGGCCAATATGAAGTGCCGGCCAATCAGCTGGAGAAAATATAGATACAGACTTGGTTGTGTGAAAATAGCCCAGCGAACAGTCTGGCAAGATCACAGCTGGCGCTGATTTTCCAGCCCTAACCTCAGTTTTCATGGTGAAAGTTAATGGAAGGGGTTGCTGCTGAGCTGCATGGGGTCAGATGGAACGGATGTCTCTTACCTACCTGCCTCATTTCATTGGCATCAAGCCTGCCGCTGTTGGAGGGGGCGAGGAGGTGCAGCTGCTGTATGTGATCCACATCCAAGGTTACATGTTACACTCTGCAAATGTCTTTGTTCCACATTATGTTTTATTTTTTCTCATCTCCGTCAATTCTCTGCACACGTATATGATTTTTTTTTGTCCAAATTTGTACAAAGCTTTAGCAAACTACTAATTTATATTACGTCATCAAACATTGCACAGCAATTTGATATAACGATAAGTTGTTTGTTGCTCCAAATATATTTGTTTTAATTGTCAGTCTGTTATTTAATTGCCTATATTTAATTGCCTCCTTGCAGGAAGATTAAACATGAATGGATAGCTACTCTATTCTGATGTGACAAATTTTCTCACATATATTAAAGGTTTCTAATTAATGGATAAATAGTTAGGGCAACTCTTCAGTAAAACTAAATTATAACTAAACAGAAAAAACAGCACGTCCTTAGTGAGGAAGCTAGCTACTTCTTGTTATCCTATAAAAATATAACTTAACAGAACTGTCTTTTTTGTAGCAGAATTTATCAAAAGAGCCTTCTATTTAATTGAAATAAATTTTAATCTAAATCTGCCAGATGTGTGAATAATTTATTAATAGATCAGGCACATTAAATAGTGTTTTAACTCAAGCAGGTGATTACCAAAAAAATAAAAAATGTTTGCACAAAACCAGACACAGCAACATTCAATGACCAACTGAAGGGTAATGAGCCAGTTTGCCTTAAATCAGGTCATCTCTGGATGGTTTTTAAATTTTGTAGAGATGACTTGCACATTATGTTCAAATGCCTGTCGCCCTAAAGGCTTCTCTTTTTCTCCAGTTTATGTTTGTTTCATAACATAAAATGCAAAAACAGACAGTAAATGAGTAATAAAGCACCTCAAAAGCTAAAAAACACCCCAGAGAATTGCTGAGAAGAAAAATTTGATGAAATTTGATACATTCAGATGTTAATGTCAGTAAATGTGTGTATGTGTTTCCAAAATTTCAACTCATGATTTTTATTATATTTTAAAATAAATTTAACAATTAAAATAAAATTGTAAAACCTTTCAGAAATTGTGGTTCCCATTAGGTGCGAGTATTTCAGTGGTCCCCATGAAGTAATATAAACGTGTCTGGGTGTGTATGTGTGTTTGTTCTATAGAAACACACCTAATGACAA